ATTTTTTAGTTATAAAAAACTTTTTATACAAAAATTGTTTTTAAAAAATAAATATTTTAAGCAAATTTGTAGAAAAAAAATGGTATTACTATTTAATAAAAAGCAAGTTGTAATGAACATCATGCGCTTACTGACTGGGTCAAAAAATTGAAATTTATCTGAAATTGTGTTTTTTAGTACTCCCTTTCATTCTCTGAAAACTCTATTTTAATACTTGGTCATTCAACTGAAATATTTCGTGGTACCTCTTAGCGTAAACACACTGAATATTTAAAAAAAAAAAACTATTTGTATAATATGATTATGCTTGGTTCAAAAAATTTAACCTAAAATAAATTATATTTTATGTATTGATCAATTTATTAATTATAATTTATTTTTGATTTTTGTAGTCGCCATTATTTAGTCAACCTGTTTCTCGTGTACTCGATTACAGAGAGAATGAATCAAAATCATATCATCATACAACATCTAATAATATACAATCAGCAGAATCTAATAAAACTACACTATCTAGTGCTTTTAAATTTTCTCAAATGTCGATGGACGATTTTAGATTGTTGAGTGTATTGGGCAGAGGCCACTTTGGAAAGGTAAATTTTACTTTTATAAATATATAAGTAATAACTGTATATTTTTATTTAGATTTAATTAGTAATCAAACTTCCCAATCTTTAGGTAATTTTGTGTCAACATAAAAAGTCTAGTGAATATTTTGCCATAAAAGCATTGAAAAAAGGAGATATAATTGCCCGTGATGAAGTTGAGTCTCTATTGTCCGAAAAAAGAATATTTGAAGTTGCAAATGATATTCGACATCCATTCCTAGTAAATTTATTCGCTTGTTTCCAAACCGATGTAAGACTACCAAAATATTTTTTTGTTTTATATAATATTAATTTTCTGTAAATCTTATTATTATCATAGGCTCATGTTTGTTTTGTAATGGAGTATGCTGCCGGTGGTGATTTGATGATGCATATACATGCTGATGTATTTGCAGAACCAAGGGCTGTATTTTATGCTGCTTGTGTTGTTTTAGGATTACAGTATTTACATGAAAACAGTATAATTTATCGGTTAGTATTATGAAATGTTAATTATTTTTAAAACATTATTAATGTGATGATTTTTCATATTTTAGTGATTTGAAATTGGATAACTTGTTGTTGGATACTGATGGTTATGTAAAAATCGCCGATTTTGGACTATGCAAAGAAGGCATGGGATATGGTGATCGGACTGGGACATTTTGTGGAACACCTGAGTTTTTAGCTCCAGAAGTTCTTACTGAAACATCATATACACGTAGTGTTGATTGGTGGGGCCTTGGAGTTCTTATATTTGAAATGCTTGTTGGCGAGGTAATTATTAATTTTATTTTAGTATAATATCAATTGTATTATCCTTACAATTATGTTTTTCTTCCATGCTTAGTCGCCATTCCCAGGTGATGATGAAGAAGAAGTATTTGATTCTATAGTGAACGATGAAGTTCGGTATCCCAGGTTCTTGTCATTGGAAGCAATTGCAATTATGCGAAGAGTATGTTATTTAATTTGTATATTGTAAAGCTAATGGGAATTAACAAAATTAATTCTATCTATTTTTTGATCTAGCTTTTGCGCAAAAATCCAGAACGAAGATTAGGATCAAGTGAAAGAGATGCAGAAGATGTGAAAAAACAGGCATTTTTCCGACAAGTTGGTTGGGATGATTTGTTACAAAGAAAAGTTAAGCCACCATTTGTACCTACAGTTGTAAGTATCTTTCACTGTTTAATTGCCTACTGATTTGCATATCTAACTAAAAATTTTTTTCTAGAATTCTGTCGAAGATGTAAGTAATTTTGATGAAGAATTTACTTCTGAAAAACCGCAACTAACACCACCCAAAGATCCAAGACTGTTAAATGATGATGAACAACAGCTATTTAAAGATTTTACATACACAGCTGACTGGTTTTAACAGGGTTATATATATATATATATATATATATATATATATATAAAAATGATTTTTCATGTTTAATTTATGTTTGTATTATAATCGATCAAATTGTAATAGCTAAAGCTAGCTAATCATGTAGTTTAGATGCAATTTCAATTATTTTTATTACTATTAATATTTATTAGGTATTTGTCCGTTTTTTTCTTTTGCGGACATTTTTCCAAAATTATTGTGATTTATATTTTAAGTTGGAAAACTTGACTTAACAAAACTGCTCAGATTAAATTTCTTTCACAAATAGTTACCACACAAATATTTTAAATAGAAAAGTCTTAACATTGATTCATTGAAGAAATTCTCTCAGTATTGAATAGAAAAAAACCATTTGATGACTAATTTTTAACTATCACTATTTAGAATGTAAAGATATTTAATTATGTTGTAAAATTTTAAAACTGTTTTTTTATAAATTTAGTGTTAAAGTTTATGTATAAATAACTTTATAATTTTGTGTAAAAATGCATTCAATGTGCGTGTAAGCATAAAGAAAAAAGTAACTTTTATATATTTATCACGTTTTATTAGAAATGTGAAATGATTATTGTTGGCATGTTTTTAATAAATAGCAAACTATAAAAACTTATTTTATTGGCTAGCTGAAAATCGCTATATATTATTGTTTATTATGCCACACATTTGCCTTGTATTAAAAATTATTGTTTTATTTAGCTCAATTTATTATTGACAATAATATGCTCACTTAGTGTCTTATGATTAGTGTATTATTTTTGTTGTTTAAAAAGTTGATTTAAAATTGTTAAGGCTTTAAATATTTCAATATTATATTTTAAAAAGAAAATTTTCTATATGTAATAGATAAAATTTAAATATTATTATGAATATGTATATTAATATATTATATTGATTATCATTTTTTATTATAAGTTTTAGTTTACATACATTATTTTAACTCTTCTATGCTTCTTACTATATGGGTATATTCTTTAATTTGCTCAATGAAAAAATATTGTTTTACTACAGCTAAAAAAACTTATATTTCATACTTAAATGAACATACGAGTAATTTGTAATCGAATGTGTGGTTGCCTGCTAAGTTGTATAAAATTATTGTTTTACTGATACTTGTTAAGTTGTAACTATTTTAACCTACACCCAAGCTGTAAGAATATAAGAGTTTTCTTGTTTTATATCACTTATTTTACCTTCCTATTATAAATATAAAGAAATAATTTAGTTTTAGCTGTAGATAACTGCAAACTTAATTATCTTGACATAAAATTACTTAGTTAGGATTTTATGTTAATCAATATTAAATGTTTGAATACTTAAGGACATTATAATTTACCATTAAAAACGGTTTGATGATTTTAATTATTATTTTATTAATTCCATAATGTGTTTCAAGTAGTGTATGATAAATCAGGGTAGTTGATCAGATATTTGGTATATATTTTGTTAATAAGAGTCATATCTGACAAAATTTATATTCTACTTGCATTTTCTTTCCTTAACTTAAAAAGTAAAAAGTTCAGATGGCTCACTTGAAATATATTCAACAGCTTTTCTTTTTAGACTATTGTTATATTTTTGGCAGATTCGTTGTAATCACGAATTTCGTGCATGTTATTATGTAAACCGTGCTACAAACCGGTGCAGCTGGGCCGAATGTAGTGCGTGGATACTATAAACGCGGTTATAAGTTAGGCAAGGATGGGCGAGAACATTCAGATTTTCGTCGAGCCGTGGCACCTTTCTTTCGCGAGACAGACTGTAGTTTGACTCAATGATAAAATAAAAATTCGAGGTCCGTGGACATAATTACTCTCGAACCAGATGAACATTACCAATTTATTATTGTGGTATTTGTATTGCAGCGTACAGTATAATACGAAAGCGATATACTCATCTACCACAATAAATTACACCTTTAAATTTGTTATGATAATAAAATACTACCGTTAGCGATCATTAACCAACTCGTCCTCTTCCGAAATCGATCCACACGTCAATCGATTGCGTCTTTAGGCTTTGGTCCTCCTCCTCATAATGGAATATTGTACCGTGTACAAAATAAATAATAATATACGGTACAGAGCGGCACGTTGTATAGGCAATACAAACGCATACAATAATATAAAATAAATATTGATTATACCATTATAGTTATTATTGAGCTGTGGATCATACGCAAAGATTCGATTAAATATTTTGGCAGTTCAACATACCGATCCGTCTTCGTATGCAATGATTTAGCATTGAATTCAACTACGATGCGTCCATTTAAACAGTGACCTACTCAATGACTACGAGGTGTACTCGAAACCTACTATTACGTTCTAGTGTTCTCTAAAACTATAGTAAAGCGGATTCGCCGATTTTTTTTTTATCTATTTTTCATAGTAATAATTGATCCAGCACGGCGCTACCGTGACAAATTAAATGTTTGTCGATTTACTCCTTGAACTCCGTTAAACGTAAACTGCACAGATTTTTTAAACGGTTATTTGTGCTGTTTTGACGAATACAAAATACAAGTCAAAAATAATTGTATTTTAACATAATAATTTGTTTAATTTCTGTAATTTATTAATCACAAAAAAAAAAAAAAAAAAAAAAAAAAAAAAAATGACATTTTTCGTGATTCAACTATGATCAACTTGTATGTGTTGAAAAGTAAAGACTATTTAATACAAAGTATCCTACGACACTACGGATCTTATTGAATATATTTACGAAAATTTTATGTGAGCATTGGTCGAAAACTTAAGATCTACAGTAGAGTAATTTATTTTAGGTTTTAAATTTTATCATAATACATTTTAGATATTATATTTATTACCTATTAATTATAGTTGATCCTGGATGGCTTTGCCTGTGGCAAATTAAATAATGCCACTTGCCAGTTCATTTATTCTGATATAATTTCATTAAATGTGTAAGCTTCATATATTTTTAACACATTAATTCAGGCGATTTTGACCAATTATAAATTATAGATCTAAAAATAAATCCAATTTACATTATAAATTATTTTTTGCAAACTATAGCAACTCTGAAAAACAAAAAAAATCGTTTTTATGAGCCAGCCAACAAATCCCTAGAATATAAAATTTAAAAATAATATTGGCTTCTAGGTGCACATTTTTGGGTATGTATGTACCTACCAAATTTCAGAACCATAATTGTGATGAACTTTGCTGTAGATTGTTAATACATACACACATACATAAACATTGTCTCTTATTAATTCAGATATTATTGACCCGTTAGCCGTTAGGTAAACCTTTAAAAATAACAAATAGTTCGATATAAACATCATAAAATGTGTATTTTTTTCGTGATTTGTTAAAACATGTATGAAAATAGAAAACTTTATAGTCGGTGTACAATAATATTTAAAATAATATTTGATGCGTTATGCTTATTATCGTATAATTGCCTTAATGTAGCAGTTAGTATTGTCACTGAAAGTTTAACGGTAATTTAAAGAGTTACGGTGCCATCATGAATAGAATGAATACAGGCGTATTTGCATTCATCGAACGACTCTCCACAATCTGATGTCATAGTATCCGGAACGAAAAAGGATTTTAAGAATTCAAAGCTGTTAATCACATAGCAACCTATAGCCACACTTCCGCAACCGCTGTAGCATATGATGGAAAGTCCTATTTTGGCTGGGGTGACGGATGTCGTCATTAGTAGCACGACAAAGAGAGATGTAAAAATGTTGTTCCGCGCCGACATTATGATTCGATATTAAATATTAATATGTTTATAACAATATAATATCGTATTATTGCAATGTATGCCTTTGCACCGTCTTATTACTGTATCTGAAAATCAAATAACAAAACAAAATTACCTTATATATCTAATATTTACATTATATTATTACACAGGTGATTCACAAAGAATACTAATCCTTATTTTCCTCCAGAAATACATTTATTCAAAGTCTGATTTTTGAAAATTTTAGATATATACCTACTTAAAGCTCTTATTTTCAAGTCCTTATATTTTTTTTTATTATTTAAAAACTGTTCTGCTGTCTTTTAGTTTTTTAATAACAACCTTCTATTACACTGCAAATTATTGAAATAAGATGTCTCTGAAAAATAGGTGTATTAGGTTTAAAATTTAAACGAGTATAATTTTTGAGTTCTTTAATTGTGTGTTACAATGATAATAGATCTCATGATAATAGGTTTGAAAAATATGAGTGCTTTAGTGATGACTAATATCGACTAATTATTTTAATAATTTGTATAAATAATCCACGTGTAGTTAATACTAGATTTAATATTAGGTCTATTAGGTATTTTAAATTTTTGTTCAGCCATTGTTAAATAATATTATCCTTAATATAGACATTTAATAAGGAATTAAAAAATATTTTTTTTCGAATTTTAAATTTGGTAGGTACATCAATATTTTCAAAAAAATCATCTATCTCATTTGAAAAACAGAAGTTTGTATAATCCCAGAACACTCTTAAGACTTAAGAGTAAAAAAAATGACAACAATTTGAATATATGGCCTTAGAGTATATTTAACAACTTAAAAATCAGAATTTGATTAAATGCATTATATTAAAGGAAAAAAATGGGGTAACTATGCTTGGTACTGAGTTTACCTATTATTTATGACATAAATTATTGTTACTACAAATTACTGGTATTGATTGTATTATTAATTTTAATATTATTTTAATTACTATAATTATATAATTTCGATGGTCGCGTGGGGGTTATCGTACACTAGCTATATTTAATAAATATAATTCATTATAATGTCATACATTTCATGATTTTTATGGAATTTATTGTTGTTTCAAATCTCTACTAGATGATCACGCGCAACGATGCCCGAGATAAATTAAATAATGTAGGTAGATTTACTCTATCTTAAACTCCCTCAAATGAAAACCACACATGTTCTTAACAATCATTTGAGTGATTTCGATCAAATATAAGATACAGATCTAAAATTATATACAACCATAATGACTATTACAAGTGTGTGTGTGATAAGTTTAAAAAAAAATTTCAACAAAAACATAACGTTTTCCATTTTTAAAGCTATTAACTATATTTAGTTGTTTAGTTTTTATGGTTACACAATAAAGTAGATAAAACAGTGTGTTGTTAAACTAATGATATATCTTAATAGGCATATGATGTTATTTATCATAGTTATTAAAAATAATGTTACTTGTTTAAATGGCATGATGACATATTATAATCACACATACGGCACAATAGTTGCATAAATCACACAAATTATGTTTGAATAACATGCGATATACGAATAATATTGTAGTAATTTGTTTGACGTTTTTATTCTTTAGCTGATAGATTTTTTTTCTGCCACTCGTGATATGAATGACAGCACCATAATTGGTGAAACTTTGGTATAATATTTAGGGATGCTAACAGTTTTATACAAATTTTAACCATGGTCGTTTAAAAAAAAAAAAAAAAAAATGAAATATTAATAAAATAAATATTATTAATTTAATTCAACTGGTTATTTAAGCTATACGGATATTAAAAATATTAATTAATATTTATAATGTGATTCAAGAGTCAATCGAATTAAAAAGAAGGTATTATAATATATTATTAAATTTCGAGTGCAATTAAAATTCACAATACTGATACAATGTTTCTTTTGCTTGGTTAGCTCAGTTAAAAAATGTAAGTGTTGTGGAAACAAATTAAGTTGTTTTTGAATTCAGAACTTTATTTAGTATTAAAATATAATGTGTAAATAATATTAATAATTCATTTATTGAAATTCGCAAAACTAAGTTAAAATTTTTAGATAATTACACACTTATACAGTATAAATTATGAAACATTTGAATTCTCTTTCGAATTCGTATCAAGACTTTTTTTTTAAGTTTATACGGAAGTCCACATAAGTCAATAATATGCATTTATACATAATATTACGTGACTTATTATTTTAGTCAATAATCAATATTTTGTTGCTGATACCTACTACTCGTATTATGCATACTATATCTACCAACATACATTACTAAAATTATTATACGATGTATCACGATATGGCTATTATTAAATAAATTTATAACTTTAATTTGTTTAACAAAGGACACATTTAAAATAAATTAAGAATGGAGACGGAAATTATATATTTTTTTTGTAGGAAATACATTTTATTACTCACTTATATTTGATGAAGTTTTGATTTTATTTTGAGGACGGTAACGTCTAGTGAATGAGCAACTGATCGAAATGCTTTGAATCAATAGTTATTATTTTATGTCATGGCTTTTTTTTATAATTTTTTTAATTACTTAATAATATGATTTACTTAGTCACTTATCCCGCAGTAGGAGACTGACACAATAATTGTAATCTGATGTCCATTATCCATGTTTTAATTAAAAAATAATAAGTTATAGTTTATAACGCCATTAAGTTCAGAGCTATGTTTTAATTTATATCTGACATTTAGTGTCTGTATAAAGTTATACAGATTCTATATCATATAGAAATATATAAAAATAACACATCATTATAGGTCCTATTTATGTATATTATTTAATATGTATAATGGAGTAGAAACTAGAAACACATTAAATGTTATATCTTGTTGATACTGTACACCCATTAAGTGACTTAGTGTTATAGTTCTAAGAATAATCAACTTATGTGAAATGTAGATTGTTTAAGAACTTAACTTGTTTGGAAAAACCATGCTAAATGATATCTATGGCAGAATAATGACTGTGGCTACAAAAAAATGATACACCATATGAACAATATTATAGTTTGTAGTAATCACAATAGAGTTCAGCTGATATTGCCATCCTTCATGGCTATACGGTACATACGCAGAACCCATACATAAAAATACCATTAAAATGTTTATTATTAAAAATATCATATTATTGAAAACTCATTTTACTTTATAATGATTGTTTAATATTATTATATAATAATACAATAATTAGCTATCAAGCATTCGATATTTTTTAGTAGGTTAAATGTCAAGTCTTGGATATTTTCAGTTCCATATTAAGCCAACATAAAGAATTTTCGGTTATTTCATTTTTCCCTTAAGCGTAATACTATTTTACTTATTTAAAATGTTAATAGTCGATTTACAGCCAAGTATTTTATAACAGTATCGAGACTTTAAAACTTTATTATCATTAACGTACACAAGTATGGATTTTAGTGATAAATAAAAACAAGTTTTCATTTTCGTTTGCTTTATTTATCGACACACCGGTATATAATAAAATTGGTCTGTCGAATACACCGAGTACTACACATAATAGATAGGGTAATATTATGATTGTACGTATTAGATAAAATATTCATATTATGTACACTATTATTAGTGTTTTGTTCTTATTTTTGTTATATTCATTATTATTAGTATAATTTTTTTTTTTCAAGTAATGAAGGCGACTACTTGTTAACCAAATAAAATAAATATATGTTACACATTTTAAATTGAAATGACCGAAAATTGACATTTTACACAATTGTGGTCTATAACAACGCTAACACATCGGTACAATATGAATAATATTGTAAAAATAAATAATAATATATATAATAATATAATATATATTATAATTGTAATAATATACTTTAAGCGCAATTCATAAACTCCCATTAAAGCGTACTAATATTCTTATGAAAAATATTAAATATACCAGCGCGATTACTCGAAAACAACTATAAATAATATTTATATACCTACTTAACGAAGAAGCGCACCTTAGTCTGTTGCACTATTTTATAGACACGTGTTAGAATAATTCATTACGTTAATCCAAGTATGAATTTATTATATCATAAATACCTATATCTAATCTTTTAAAAATACAATAAAATTATAATATCACATAATATATGTATTGGTATAATATAGTTTGTATATTATAACATACCTATTTCATTCAAATAATTGTTCATTATAAATAGTTGTCAACATAAAGTTATTTATATATTTTTGATTGTGTGATATGATCAGTTAAAATGTATTATGACATTTTGGGCGATCCAGAGTAAATTACCTACCTAGCTACTTTAAGATTCAATTTTTCAGAATTTTTTTACTTAAATGTATAAAATGGTTGTGTCCAGTGGCGTATTTTCAATTTTTTTGTTGGGGGGGGGGTCTTAATATTAAATATAAGTTTATAACATTATAATAAAATACATACGAGTTATGATTTAATAATGATATTATTTATATTATACTAAATTTCACTATTATTATGAAAATAAATGACAATTAATAGTTAAACCCAAGTTATTTTAAAAAATATTGTAATACAAACATTAAAAACACATAATATAAATTAATATTATTTTTTTCTGGGGGGGGGGGGGGGGGTCGAGACTCGGGAACCCCCCGTAAATACGCCACTGGTTGTGTCATTAGGGGGTTTTACACTTCTCAATTATTATTATACACGACTACCTATACATCTTTAATCTGTTTTCACTTGAGAATCGGTTATTGTTACAGGTTTTAGGTAGGTACCTATTATAAAATATTAATTAATAATTATCCAACAACCTAACCTTATCTAGATTCTAGACCATTTGTTTGTAAATTATAATTACAAAATATAAATAATGGTTAGCCTGTCAGTTCTTATTTTTTAACTAAGAACAAATTTATACCTATACAGTAAAAATTGAGTGAAATAATTTTAAATTTTTAACATTTTTATTTGACCAGTTTATTTCAATTGATATTAAATATTTGAATTCAATCGAAAGTCGTTTCATTGTCAAATTTCATGTCAAGACAAAAGATGTAATGTATCATCCTATTAATTTAGACTTCTCCTTCATGCTGTTAATTTTCAATATTGATTTTGCTATGGATTTAATGCCTGTAAATATTTCTTTTCCTGTTGTTACAATCTTCTCAGCTGGCAATAGAAAACCGTACAATCCTTTATCTGGAAGTTCTATCGTATAGCTGTATTTTATACCGGCTTTCCCTTTGGCCCAGTCATCCGAACATCCTAGAACAATTAATAATATATAATTAGTTGTTTAATATACATTTACTTACACGTTATAAAATATAAATATATGACAAATGAATTGGTTAACTACTTTTATTCATTATGTTAAGATTGATTTTCATAAAAATACTGCATAATTATTAAAGTCATAGTGCTTATAAACATTAGAAATGTGTGTTTATGTATAATGTATACATTATTTAAATAATTTATTGTTAGGTATTTATAAAGTATTTTTTTCTCTACTAATATCAGTTATCAGTTAATTATTTTCTTTTACTAATACATATTTTTCATGTATTTTTTTTTTATTCAAGACATGAGTATAAAATATTAAGATAACTATTATAAACAAATTGATTTACCAATCATACTCGTTCCTATTTTTCCTTTAATACTGATTTAATTTAATCATAACTTTTGTGGCATTTTTAAATATACCTACTTAAAACTTATTATTTCACAGTTTTGAGATTTTTTTGTACTATTTAAGAAGTATTTTGTAGCGTTATAGCTTTTGTTTTTTACTTGAGATTTTTTTTCTCTTACAGTAAATTATTCAGTGGATACTTTTTTTTTGAAAATTAGTTTTTGAATAACTCCATTATTGAAGGAACAAAGGTGGTGAGCACTGAGCATGTTGGTGAATCACTCTGTATATATTATATACCTGATACGGTGTAAAGCAGTGATGGAGTAGTGCCGAGTTGATACTGTGAACCGTGTACTTTTTGAATTGCTTCAGTTGCTTGTCTCGCTAAATACATCATATCATCATAATCATCCGAAAGTTTTTTTGTGTGACTCCAAGGCATTAGCCACATTTGTGAGTAAGAATGTAGCGTTAAATAAACCTGCAATTATTTTTTATTAAGAAATAATTATCTTGAATAATGCTGACATTATGCACACGTTTATAATTTATTCTTGAAATCAATCAAATTTATTTCAACATGCCAATTACTTTGATTTTTAATTATTTTATTAATTTAAAAAATATCTATATTCTTTCAATTTCTAAGACATCGAGTAAAGATATTAAATTATTTAATTTTCTTTTTAAGCTTAAAATAATGTATTGTAAATATGTAATATTGTAACAATGTATTTTATAAATATAATTGTTTGTTAATACTTTACATTATAATATTCATATTGTATATGTATTTGTTTAAGGTATGATAATATCGCTAAATAATTATTTTCATAAGAGGATAATATGACACCCATATGTGCTATTTCCATCTTATAAAAACATAGGTACAACAATGCAAATTTTCATTCAGTAGAACCAATTTTGTGTTGTTAATTTAAATATAAGATTGAATTGACCTATGACTAAATTAAAAGAAAAGAACATTATTTGTGATATTTTGTTGGGTTTTTATGATATTCTAATTTTTAAGCGAGTTATAAGAATTTTTATATTTTATTACTATGTCTATTCATAAATCATAACTTTCTTAAAAAATAAAATATCGTAAGAAACCTAAACGAATCACATATAATGTTCTTAATTTTAAGTTTAATCTTAAATCAATTAACTCTAATATTAAAGGTAATGACAGAAAATAGTTATTACTGAATATAAATTTGCTACGTTGCCTATGTTGTACGTTTGTAAGGAATAGACAACATATGAGAGTGTATGGAATTTTCATAAGTGTACAACCTATAACTATTCATAATTTAATAATATTAAAGTAAAACAAATTTTAAAACTTCTTTTATAAGAGAATAATAAAATTAATAATTCAGCATTTAACAATCAAGAATAACTAAATTAGAACACATTTATTTTGTGGTTTTAAATTCAAAAAGTAGAATCTTGTGAAACATATTACATTTTATTTAATTACTTGTATTCTATCCCTGTGGTCTAATATAAAATCAGATACTGCTCTAGTTTCTGGTTCCGAAAAAGCATGTGATCCGGCAAAAGTGTCAGAACACGGGTCTTGACTAGCGCCAACTCCTCCCCAGTGCCAATCCCAGTTTCTGTTTAAATCAACACCTTCACAACCATATGACGTATCCCATAGAGTTCTAAAAAAATTTTATTCTTAAATTTTATCCTGAAAAACTGTGAATTTTATTATTAGGTATTTACCTTCCCGATTTGATAGTTGCAGTCCTCCTAGATTTTCTCCATAGACGATCTACGGTATGACTATACTCGTAGCCATCTGCGTTTATCATTGGTAGTATATACCAATCGATCTCAGAAACCAGTGTTCTATAAGATTTATTTTCTACTAATTGCCTTAAAATGAATAGTGCTACAGCTGGTGATATCCATTCTCTTGCGTGAATTCCTATCACCGAAAATTATTTAATCAAAATATAAATCATCAAAGATAAAAGATGAAACTAATAGCCAAAGTTTTAGATTTTCATTTAATTTTAGAAATATATTAATAGAAGATACCCCCTACTCTAAATGATTGTTTATGGAAAAATATTATGTTTTAATTTTGTTTGAATGTTATAATTTTAATTTAAAAATGATTCAGCAATATAACTTAAAAGAATCAGAAACGATTGAAAACTATTATTACACGTGTATATTCTTAAATAAAAAATGTTGAGGTAACATGATAGAATCTGTTCGAAATATGATCATAAATAACTTAAAAATTTATAATAAAAATATTATATACATTTCCTTTAATACATTTTACCTGCATCAATCCATATAGCCGGTTTGACAACATTTTCCCTAGTTTGTCCACTTGATATTTTCACTACTTTTAGTGGTCGGCCTTCTACAGTTTTTCCGATAGGCAACAATTCCACTAAATGAGGATAGTTTTCCGATAGATACATTAAGTAGTCGAGAATATCTGAAAATATTCAAAAGTTATCCAATATTCATCATTAATATTATTCAGTATAGCTCTTTGATATTAAATATGTTAAGTTCAAAATAGCTTTATTTATTATTGATAACTGATAAGTACCAATAATTATAGGAATAACAAATTTTAAAAATTACTATAAAATATGCGAAAAATTATTTTTAGTTTGTATTATATGAATATTTATTGGTACATAATTAATGTAAAATATAAAATAAATTAATGATGTTGACTAAATCACGTTACTGTAAAAATATTACAAAACAGTAATATCTGCATTATTAAAGTATAAATATAAAATAACACATTTTGCTATGTAGATTGTTCATTCTTATATATCTATATGACTATATTATATAATTAAGTTTTTAATTTTTTCGGTATTCATATTACCTTGATAACGATGATATCTATTAAAAGTCATTACATGTCCTTTTGTTGCTTTTAACTCTGATTGTTGATTAACAGATGGCATTTTAGGATTTTGTTTATTAATGCTTCTCTATAATCATCAAAAAATATATCAAACCATAAAAATCGTTTTTTTTATTGAGTGTTTAAACTTTATTCATACTTCTAAGTCGGAACTGAGTACAACGAAGTTGATTTCTCTTTCTGTTAAAAATCTTTTTACGTCTCTAGCTACACTAGGTGGTAATACGAGATCTGCCGTTTTATTCAACTGTATAGGCATCCAGACTTGCACACCTGGTTCTTCGGACATTCCTTCTAAGTCAAGTACTTCGTCCTCGTCAGACGGTAAAACTCTAATGATTTGAAATTTTTTGTACGAAACTTTACTGGTTGTTTGTTTTTTGCTTGATGCACCACCTGTGAAATAACAAAAATTATATAAATCATACAATTACATTGAATGAATTAATATTTTAAATCGTGGATATTGGAATGAGTATTTGTATTTATTTATAAACACAAATATTTTGAATATAATAATTGTATAGTATATTGTTAGGGACATACAAAGAAAAAATGTCTCCTGATTTAATGTAATTCCATTAAAGTTGATATTTATTGATTAAACCAATCAATTCTTAATATTAAACATTATCATCTCTCAGCCAATTTTATACATAAGTTCTTGGAATTGCGAAAAAATGTCAAAATGGATGAAGTTTAAACCACAACATTACTGGTTGGTCCTTGTAATTAAATAAACAACGAACACTAATGATATTTCAAATTTAAATAGATACTATATAGATATTTACGTATTATATTTATGAACGCATATTATGTCGTTATGATTATAATTTATAACCATATCATTACGTATTTTTAAATATTAAAAAGTTAAGTAAAAATTTTGTTTTAAAAAATCTTATTTGAATCATAAAAATGATAACTTTCGTTATTTGTGCTTATAAGTTATAAGAACATATTACTATTTTTCATACTAATAAGTAATAGTTTAAATATATAGGTATTTTAATTCTTAATTTATCATTAATCTATTGAAGACCATCAAAAATATGCATATCGAATTAATGGGTCAATAAAAGAATTCAGTATTGAGTTCAATTGTTACTCATAAAAAATAACAATATAGCGCTTAAACTTCGAAACGAATTTGAAGTGCTAATTTCATAAAATTAAATAAGTAAACAATAAGTATATGCTAATATCAAAAGTACCTACGCAATAAATTATAATATAATAGAGTATATTCCACTTTTAAAACAGCATTCATAAATGTTTTAAATGTATTTGACCATATTTAATTTCTATCAAAAAATATTTTGTAAGTTATATAGCACACACATAAGACAAGAATTATGAATACCACGAATGTGTCGTTTGTGTATTAAAAAATATTGAGGAAGTAGCGTTTAAAAATACGTATTACGATTTCATTATGCTTACAATTATTTTTGTTGGAGAAGGATTAAGTTTTATTTGTGATAATGTTATAATTTATAAAATATTAACAGTGTTACTGATATGTATTACTATTTCAAATAATAGATAAACCCGAGAAAATGGAGTGATGAAATCACTGTATTGCACATAAATTGAGTATTTTATTGCTCGTCTATATAGAGCATACGTACAATTGTCACGTGCGTAGTTAATCAGTATGGTTATTCATCTTAACGGGCACATGATCTACGAGTAGTTACATAAGTAACCATCCATCTATCCACCAACAGAACCTATTAAGAAATAGGCAATATAGGGAATTCAAACCAAAAATATTTATTTATTTTTTAAATAACCATTCATTGTTTACTCGATTATTATCATAAAATATATAAATTTTTATTTTTTTTTTTTGGTCTACTGAGTTATGTGTCATAACAAAAAGCAAAGAAGCTAGCAATCATGACACCCAAATAAACTAAAGTATATTGATCAAGTTGAATAAACGAAAAATAATGTCGGTAGGGAGTTAATATTTATTTTTTATTTTTTTTTATAAATATTAAAATTTAAATCATTTTTTTTTTTTAATTTTTAAATCAACAACTGATGCATTTAACTGTGTACCAATGACAAATGGAAAGCTTTTAGCCGTGTATAGTTACGTGTCCACGAGCCTATGGCCGTATAACAGCCCCATAACCATCTCCGCGGTATAGCCTACTCCCGCCGCCACCTACAACCTCGCGGTTGCCCGAACTTACCGGTGATGGGTGCTATGACCATGTCGAAAATGTATTCCAGGTAACCGGCCACGGTGTTGTATAGTTGGATGGCTCTGAACGGGAATACGCTGTCGCCGTCGTCGTCTTCGGCCGTGTCGGCGGCGGATGCGGCCGCGGTGGCCGGAGCGTTGGCCGTCGGCGAGGCGGCCGCCGCGACAACGACGATGACGGCCGCTACTGCGAGCCATTGCAGCGGCGGCAACTTCATTTCGTCGCCGTTAAAATTGGTTATATGATATCGAATAAGCGACCGGCGAGATGGTTTACGCGTTCTATCGACAGCAAGAAAAAAAAAAAAAAAAAATCAAAAAAAAATCGTTATTTTGAACGCGTTATTGCTGCGTATCGGAAATCGTTATTTTTAAATCGCACAAATCGGTTGACGACTATTATCGGTTATTATTATAACGATAATACGGATCACGATATGGGATAGTCGGATATTTTTCGGGTCCGGGTGCGATGAAAACAAGTCGGTCGCGATTGCGGCCTACAAACAGTGTAGTGTATGACGAATAGGTATGACTAGTCGACGCCGCCGTCCAAATCTGCCGCATCGACTTCCGACGTCGTCATAGTACTATACCACGATATTATTATCGTAGTACCTTATTCCTGTATATTATTATAAAGGTGGACAAAAATCGTCGAACCTGCCGGGGAACGCGTAGTGTGAGGTGCGTCGCGTGCTGAGCGTCGATGTGAACTGACCGCACAACCGGCCGGCACCGGAGGCTTCGGCAACGGTGGTAGTTATTACGACGGACGTGTCACTCTCGTTTCATCGCGTACCTACACACAATATATATATATATATATATATATATTATTGTAATTGTTATGCCTAAACAGTTAAAATATCGATATTACAATATTACATATTATTCGTACAGTCGTATTTAACTTTCTTTATCGACGGAGACATCGTCACAAGTAGCAATGTACCTACTCTTAGGACGGATAAAATAATAGGTGTATTCGTGCAATACACGCAGGTAGGTATGTAATATAATATAGTTAAACGTGCCCCAATCATAGCAGTGATATGATATTAACATAAATACAGTACGCCGAGGCGATAATTTCGGGATCGATAATCTCGTCAACAACCATCTGTGGAACCGCGGGTGGTACCGTTTTCTCCTAAAAGTGAGATACATTTTCCTCCACTGTTAGATAGGTACTTTCAATTTTTCTCCAAATATTTAAATTGTGGTTCCTAAACGAGCTTGCTTGTTGGGGCCAATTATACATTTATAATTTATGTAACAAAAAAATAATGAAATATTCGTTTTTTAAATATTAAAATTTGGAATTTATTTCTGGGTATAATATGCATGCAATTACGACACAAGTTATTTCATTTTTATACTAAGTAAATACAATATTAATAACATGTAGGTATATGTATTTAATTAAAAAATTAATGAAAGTGTTTAACTTGTAATTTAATTTTAAGTTATTTAAGTTTTAAATTATTAAAAACATTTATATTTTGCCATATTTCATCATAATCATGGCTTTAGAATTTATTTTATATTTTATATTTAATTATACATAAAAAGGTATAGAAAAATATTCTTAGCCAGAAAATTAATGAGTGGGTGAAAATTTCTTGTTTTGACAATGAAGGGAAATGGATAGTGAGGATAGTGGAGGAAAATGGAACTAAAACCTCATTGGTAACTTATTTGAAATTTTTTAAATAATTTGATACTTATGAGGTTATTACTAGGTAATTTTAGGTTTTAAGATATTAACGATATTTAATACTGCAGCAGTAGGAATTTGATGTGCATCTTCACGATACTTTTTATTATCTGTATATATCGATGGCTTACTGGTTTAGTGTACATATTTCATAAGTCATCTTTAAAAAAATAAACTTTAATTAAATAAACTGTGTTTATTTGAAATTTAAAATATATCCATACATTCTATGAATATCTGCTTCGAGTACATAATAGGGACAATATTCCCTAATTCATGATTGACATAGTTTAATGTTTGTTTTATTTTATTAGAAAATATAATAATAATATTGATATTGTTCTTAGAAAAACTTATATTAGTAATATATTTAATAGCATAAATATTATTTGTCTGTTGTTAAGTGTTGTCAATTGCATATAATTATATTTTTTTTTTTTACTATGATTTTTACAAGGTACATGTATACCTATATAACCATTTTTTTAGTCACGTGTAATTATATTTCTATCTATAATTTACCATTTATTAGTTATTTAACTAATTAATATAGCTATAGATAAATATATTTTATAAATTACTTATTTTTTAGTAAATATATGCAGTAAAAATAAATTAGATATTTTTATAGAAATTATTTATAATAAAACTATAAAAAACTATATACATATTACCTATATTATAATTTATAACATTATAGTATAATATAGTGGATAATTTATTTTTCGTTACAGTATTATTGTTAAGTATTTATTTATAGCTTCAACACTGTTATGGCCTATATTTCTTTAGTGTGTTTTTCTATTTGAATTAAATAATAATACAAAGCAAATAAACTAACTAAAATGTTTTTTTACATGATTTTTAATAATTATATGGAAATCTTACGAAAATAAATACTAAAAACCTTTATAGGTACAGTATCTTTAATATATTATTAAAAGTGTCAACGTTTAATAGAAAAATAATCAAAATAGTTATGTTAAAATTTAAAGCGTGGATTTTTTTATCTAAACATTATAACGATTTTGATAACAAAAATTAATTGGCATTTAGAAAATTTAGTTATACACTAAAATAATTATTACATTTATTGAACTATCTATATGGCTACATATTAGTAAGTACCTAGTAACTAATAACTATACATATAATAATAATAATAATAATAATAACTAATTAGTAATTACTTTAAATAAATGTATAATTTTATCATAATACCTATATTAAAAATGTATTATAACATCATATTAGAAATGTTAATTCATGTAATCATGTGTTATATTCTAAGTGAAGCAATAATTGTATTGATTTTACAGTAATGTACTTTGTTTGTGTCACACGTTTTAAAGTAAAAAAAATGTTTCGATCTTAAACTTAAAAGGTGGTTGTTGATAAAAAATTAGATCTAATTGGCTATTAAGCTAATAATTAAAATTGTCATTTATTTAAGTACATACTATATTTAGTATAATCGAGAATTTTTACGCTAAACCAATTTTAGAAAAAAATTACGAAATGGTTAAATATTGTAATTTAAAAATGAATAACTATTGAGACTATAGATTTTATCGCAAAATATTCACTTTAAAATTTATTGGATATGTTAAGAATTTTAAAAAATTTTGGATCATTTTGTGGTATTTATAGATTTTTTAAATGTTCTACTTTTTTAGTTTTTTTTCGATTTATGTTTGATAAAACTACCTACATGTACATTTTAATATACAATTCATTATAAGTTTATACTCAAATTAAAAAAAATATCGAAAATAGATTTTTTTTATTTTCAAAATGTTTAGATTAATTTTAAGCTATTGCCTATATTTATTTATTTATACCACGACCCTATATTTAGTATGTCACAGTATTGACTTAAAAATAATAAACAATAATATTAGTATATGATACAAATATATATTATTATAATAATTTATAATTTAATAAATACAATGTTGTTTCCTTAAATAATTTAACATAACGTGTCATTAACTGTAAAATTAATTATTAAATAATATAATATAATATTTTTTGTAACAATGGACTGATAGACCACTATCTCTGCCTAGTCATTTTACGTATATAATGGTTTATCATTAAATTAAAATTTAACACTACCATTATTGTGACCTACCTACTCATTCTGAGTTCAAACTGAGTTTCCCGATTTATAAAAAAAATATTCGTTGGTAGGTACTTGAATATCAACTGTATAATTTTTAATATAATGTAACAACTTGACCCAGTTAAAATTAGTTATTGCCTTTTAGTTTTTAATCATAACATTTATAAGATAGGTACCTTATTCATTAAACGGCGTATACGTTTTATATGTTCATAATATTTTAAAATTAAAATAAACGCAGTTTAATTTTTAACAGACCACTGCGTCTTGTATTATACCTATAAACCTGTAACCTCAATTCGTTTCTTGCAAATGACTTATTGTATGGGTATTATTATATTATAATATAATTACACCATAACTCATGTATAAAATTCACAAGACAATTATATTAAATAGGTAGGTACTGGAAAGTCAATGATTGTTTAATAGTTTGATGTGTATACAATGTGCATATATTTATTAATTTGTTAATCAACGGTTCTTCAATATTATAAACTGTGCTTAGTGTCCTTATTATTAGCATCGACATCGACCCGATAATATATCTAGAGTTCACGAATACAAATCGATTATAATGAGTAATGACCATGTCGTATTTACATTGTATTAAACAGTTACCTACGAGAGATTTTAATTCTTCCTGCTGCAGAGCACATCGGTCGTCACTCCGCACTCGTAATGGTTAATTGAAAGCCGGACGTAAACAAAACCTATTGTAAAAAGTAGTAAAACTATCAATATAGCACTATGTAGGTATATACAATGGTATATTAAATATATCGGTCATTCCAACAATTAAAATCAGGCAACCATAAGAATATGTTATTTGTCAATTAAATGTATTAAAACGTATTTTTGAAACCATTTTATGGACTTGGGGCTTAAACTTAAAAATATTATTATTTTGATTTATCACGATAAAATCAATAAAAAAAAAAAATATTCTATTCCATATGCACAGCATTAATTTATTTCATTATATCTTAATATCTTATTATTTAAATAAACGTTAATACATATCTATAAAAATATAGTTATTTTTAAAGTGAGTATCTATGGTCTTTTAATCCCAAATATTTCCAGATCATTAAAACTGCCTTGCGTCATATTATTATCATGTTAAATTACATATTATGTTATTGTTAAGGACTCAACATTCTACAATATTTCTGATAAAACAGAAGTGGAATTATAATATTTGTAAAGCTTACAAAATTACCTGTGTAAAAATATTTATCAATTAAAAAATGTAAAAAAAAAAAATATATGCTTGATTCTTATTAAAATAATTGTTTAATTTGTTGAAAAATGATTATTGTGTTATAGGTACTTAGTCATAAGTTAATATTTCATTTTAATAATGACGATTTAATATACCTATTATAATGTTATTTTATTTGATTAAAAATATTATAAAACGTAGTTATTTTAGTTTTCGACCATTAATACCAAACGGGTTTCAAAGACATTCATTTTCATTGTTAGAAAATGTTTGAAAATATTTCATTAGACCAAAAGTAGTTATTTTTAAAAGTACCTACCTGTAATTTATTTATTTGTCGGGTTACTCATATTTTTTATAAACTTTATTGTGTGTACAACACATATTATACATTAAAGTAATAAATTATTATTATTTATTTTTATTTTCATCTTTCCTTGCATACTGTGCTTTCTACAAATATATTTTTGCTGAATAATATGAGTGTAATTTAAATTATTAGATATTAAAGCCATAGCATTAGATTAAGTGCTATATTGATATGTATGTATGATAATTAATTATTGTTATAAGCATGTGTGTAAGAATGTACGATGTATTTCGTATAAACCATAGAAATCTAAATT